CCCCAAAACCCCAAAACCCCAAAACCCCAAAACCCCAAAACCCCACTTTCCATAAGGAGAATTGAACTAAAATTAATTGCTCAAATGAAGATTCTTAGGCTCTAGTTGAGCTTTCATTGGTCTTCAGTCTCAATCTTTCCCAGATTTTTCCTCTTTGAGGGGGTCATACTTTGTCCTGGCTCCCAATTTGAGGATTAAATAGTCGAATCTTTTGCTTCTTGAGGGTTGAAATAATCCCATACTTCTTCCCATAAGGGTTGAATGCTCCTTTTGTTGAGATTCTGGGCTTACTGATCCAAAAATCCTTGTTCTCACTCTTGACTCGAGATACCACTTTTACTTGATTTTTCTTAAAATTGTTGAAATTAGTCTTAGACTCTCTTCTGGATGATTCCTTACTCGATGGTTTATAAAACTCAGCAGTGGAATTGAGCATCTCTTCCATCTCAGAGGGGTTGCATTTCAAGCTGTCAGTTCCCAAAATAGTCTTAGTAACTTTACAATGTTGTAAATAATTTTTGGAATTCCAGATATTCTTCTTAAAATTTAACGAGTCTGCTTGATACACAGCATTTTTCTTCCTCTTCTTCTTACTGAAGCCAGGAATTTCGAGAGTTTTTGGCCCTTGTCTTTTGTTTAGAGGTCTGTTCCTTCCTTGTACATGAATCTTTTGGTAGAGGTTTTGGTTGTTACTGGTGTCTAAAAGAAGTTGGATTAGTCAGAAAAGCTTACCTCAGCGCCTACTATCTATACTAGGAGATTTCAGATGGATTTTCATCGCATTTCATGACTTTGATGTATAAAAATTAGCATTATACGGTTCAAGAGACTGTTCAAAAGTTGTAATAGATGATTCGTTATTAAACGTATCATTCTTTTCTCTTCAATAAGGATTGACTGATTTGATCAATTTGTTTTGAATTATATGATTAGTAGAACGGTTGCTCAGATTCCCTTGGCTACCTTCATCGCTCATGCTAGCATTCCTGTAACCTCTGGGCGCAAATCCAAGCACAGGATAATTGTTTTTACTAACAGACAAAAATAAAGGTGGAGGCTTTTTGTCATTCCCAAATCCCTATAAAATATCAAAAGTAGCTTATTACTGGTGGTTTGTAGGCTCTGCTTGAATGAGTGTATCTCACATAGCTCTTGTTAGTGTTTACAGGAACTTCTTCTTGACTTTTGCAAAGTAATTTCTCTTAAAAATAAGAATAAAATATTTACTTTTCTCTGGAGATGAATTGTAGTTCCCTCTTGAACTCTTTGAGCTTCGTAGGTTCTTATAATCTCTATCAAGATTTTTGCCTCTGTATTGGTCTAAATATTACTTTATTAGATAGCCGTCATCAGAATCTAATATCCCAATCCATCCCAAACAGAAAATGAATAAAACTGTAGGCAAAATGATAAAACATAAACTGTAAAGGGGGAGAAAGAATTGAATAGTATCAGTTAGGCTCTCTTTATTTTACTAAAAACCAGCCATCCAGTCCCTCTAGTCCTAAAATCTCTGCTCCTCTTCACCCAAATTTCAGCGCTGCCCAGAATCCAAGTACTGTCTTTATTCTTGGCATGAATGCTTGTTTTTAGGCTGACCTAGCGATGTGGCTTACCTATGTACGAGTATTTACTGAAGGTGTCGCCTTTTCTTCTTCTTTTGATCTTACATAGGACTCCATCAACGCTTAAGCCATGGGAGTAGCCCCTTTGGCCTGGAGGTGAATCGGGTTTGTAGAAGAAATCAATTGGGAATTTGTTAAGGGACTTTATTGACTTCATTATGGTCTGTTCAATAATAAATAAAAGGTTGGGGTTTTGGGGTTTTGGGGTTTTGGGGTTTTGGGG